AGCACCACTAGGAAACTTAACCAAAATATGGTAGAAAGTGCTTATTAATTTAGTATATCAAACTAGGATTTAAATCTACATATTCCTTTTCAACCTTCATGAAAGTGCTAAGTTATGTGTGCTTTCTCATTGTGTGCTTTCATTGTACAAAGGAATTTTGTTACTAACAGTTTAGAGGACTAGATTAAAAGAATCAGTTTGTAGCTGGGCATTAGTAGATTATGTTTGCATCCTATCTACTTGAGAAACAAAGTGGAAGATGAGGGTTTGAGGCCAAGCAAAAATAATCTTTGAGTCTCCATCTCCAAAATAATCAGCAAAAGGTAGGGCTAGAGCCATGGCTCAATACTATTGCTTCAGGCAAGCAAATATGAGGCCCTAAATTCAGTGGGGCCTAATAATACAAAAAATAAACAATAACAAACATGAAAACTAAAATGTTACTTTGTTACAAATGTAGGACCTAGATTATTTTTATATAACACTTGACTGTTTTTTCTAGCTAGAGCTTCAATGTGATCCTTCGGATACCCATCTCCACTCAGTATGCTCTAGTCTGCTGAGCAGTCTTCCTGGTAACCACCTTAGGAAGTCTTCCACAATCTGGAGATAGGAAGACATCAAGATGGAAAAGCTAATAATATCCAAAGGAACGGTGGCTTCCATTTTACCAATTCGTCAGTTCCTGGCATTGATTCATCTGTACATGGGGTAGGTATTTCAGCTAGAGGCATTGCTCCCACCCAAAATAGGATTTGTTTATGGAGCTAAAATTGAAAATAAGAAAATACTTCAGATCTCATGATAATTTCTTAGACAGTTACTGGTTAACTGTCACATGCCACTATAAATTACAATATATAACATTCACAAGCAGGATTTTCCTTTGTATATAACTGATCCAATGATTTTATTTATAACCAACATGGAACAGTTCATTTCAGGCAATCAACTACTCAATAATTTTACTGAGATCTGGAGAAGTCTTTGGCTTACTCACAGTTCTAAAAAGAGTTAAATTTAAATGACTTCTTTGCTTCACATTGTTTTTGTCTGGAAGCTGTGAATAATAATATTATGCAAACAAACTAGCAGTTAGTTTGCTAATATGTGCACCAAAATTGGATATGAAGAAGAGATTATCTTTATGTAAATATTGATTTTAAAATAAATGGTTTTTTAGAAACTGTTTTCAATTATGACTCTAATAATAAAGTTTCTATATAGAAATGCTTTTGTAATAATATAAAGCATAGTTCCAATGACTTTCTTTTTAATTTGCCACATTCTTATTATCCCTGGAATTTCTGTTTACTTATTTAAGTATACATTTATGTATTTTGTGTTGATCCTGGGGCTTCAGCTCAGGGCCTGGGTTTGTACCTGAGATATTTTTCTCAAGACTAGTGTTCTATCACTTGAGCCACAGCTCCTACAACTTCATTTTTGGTAGTTAATTAGAGATAAGAGCATGACTTTTTTGCCCACACTGGCTTTGAACCATGATTTTCATGCATAAGGCACCAGTGCCAAGCTTATCTCTATAATTTTTGAAGCTCTTTACACAAGGAAAGAGAGTTTGAAGTTGTTTCTTCATGTTAACAATGGGAACAAATCATAGAATCTCTTGACTAGCATAGAGTGACAAAATGCCTAAGTCATTGTCTGATACGCAATAAAACCTAATATTATTAAATTATGTGCTTTTTATAGATCTCTTTCATGACAGTGAAGAACTAAGAAAACTATATAGCTTTAAGCATGAAGCCATAACATTACCTTTAAAATTTTAGGCTCAAATATACAATTTATATCGATTTGTATTTTGTTTCCATCCATCCTCATCTACTTATGGTAGTTATTCAGATATCTACATTAAAAGAATCATCTGATGCTTCTGTTACTGCTGTTCTAAGAAGTGCCACTGATATTATGTTGAAAACGAACTTTACAAATTTGGGGGGTGGAGGGAGTAGTTGTGGAGGTGAGAAGGAAAGGATGGTAGGGGGAAAACAAAGGAGGAAGCGACAATGCTCAATAGGAAATGTACTCATTACCTTGCTCATGTAACTGCAACCCATGTACAGCATTTTTACAATAAAAAACAACTGGAAAAAAAGAAGTGCCACTGTTCACACTTAGTCATTTCTTTAGGAATTGTTTCTTCCAGTGTGCTGTATTGTGGGTTAATTATGCCAATAACACAGATTAAGTTAAAAAGAACAGTGAGATATTTTGAATGAATTTATCACACAGTTTTAAGATGTTCTTCATTTTCATTTTAATAGTTGTGTAGAACAGGTATTTTCATTTCAGCAGTGTAGTTGTTTGTTGAACTTCATATCTATTTAATGGACAGACATATAATTATTTTTATAGTTTTGTTAACAAATGTGGAGATGAGAAATGGTCTTGGGAATGTGTGACAGTTGACAATTTCTGCAGCTGGTGACAATGCCTAGTACTACATAGGTTTGCACTGGCTAGGAGCCAAACTGCCTATTGGAATTCAAGGAACCCATCTGGATAAAGCTCCCCTGACACCCACCTGAATGGAGATTACAGACTGGCACTGTATTTAGAGTCTACCCATTACATACCTTTTATCAAGGGCAGGCCGTAACACTGACCAAAGAAAATTTATATAATCTATATTCACAGTTTTTTTTCTCTCACCGTTTTTTTAGATGTAAAGGAAGAAGCAAGAATATAAATGAAAGAGAAGGAAAATACAGCTTATGTGCAATAATAAATCACAATTATGTGTTCATTTTATGTGTTGGCTGATAAAGATGTTTCTCTATGGAATTTTACTTAAATTAGGAATTTAAAGAATATTCTGATTTGAAATAGGATACTTACTTGAAAAATTAATGTTGTATCACCTGGGTATTATTATACATGGGTGATCACCAACTTTTGGGAGACATTAACTTAAAAGTTAGAAGTTTTAAGCTGGGTGCTGGTGGCTCACACCTGTAATCCTAGCTATTCAGGAGGCTGGGATCTGAGGATCGTGGTTCAAAGCCAGACTCCAGGAAAGTCCATGAGACTCCTACCTCCAATAAACTACCAGAAAAGAGAAAGTGGCACTATAGCTCAAGTGGTAGAGTGCAAGTGCTGAAGGACAGTTCCCAGGCCCAGAATTCAAGCCTCACTACTGACAAAACAAACAAACAAAAAAAATGAGAAACTTTCTGAATACATAGGAATATTGTAAAAAAAAACTGAGGATCGTGGTTCAAAGCCAGTGCATAGGAAAGTATGTGAGACTCCTATCTCCAATAAATCACTCAGAAAGCAAGAAGTGGAGCTCAAGTGGTAAAATACTCGCCTTGAGGTGAAGAGCTGAAGGACAGCACCCAGGCTCATAGTTCAAACTCCACCACCACCAAAAAAAAAAGTTAGAAGTTTTGATTATATATATGTATATATATATATATATATATGTATATATATATATATATATATCTTTTTGTTTGATAGCAACAATAATTGTGTGTGTGTGTGTGTGTGTGTGCGCGCGTGCGTGTGCACACCAGTATTGGGGCTTGAACTTGGGGAGTAGGCTCTGTCTTTTATTTACATTTTTTGTTCAATGCTATCATTGTACTCCTACCTACAGTTCTATTTCTGACTTCCAACTAGTTATTGTAGAGAAGAGTCTCTTGAATTTATTTTTCTGTGCTGATTTTGAGCTCCTAACATTATAGGCATGAGCTACTAACATCAAGCCAATTGTTTCCTGCTTTATTTCTCTACCGGAAGGAAGGCGGTGGGCGACATTTTAGAAGCTTTCTTGAGCTACAGCTTTGTAAGCAGGTTTACTAGATGTAGAGGTCCCTGCAGCCCACCTCTGAGGCCTACAAAATGTTTATTGGATTCTTAAAGAGTCATATCCTTGAAGCCATATAGTATGACACAACACCCAGACTTGGGGACAATTCCTTTACAGGCAACCAAGCCTGTGGAATGCAAACACTGATCACAGCAAGAGATCTGTTGCTCTCATCTCTTTCATCTCATAAAGTTGCTTCATGCCATTGCATCTGCCTGGTGACCTTTGTAACTGCCTGGAGCTGTCAAGACAGACTAGCATCTTAGACAATAGCATATGAATACCAAATCTGATGGAAAACATTAAGGCAGATGTGTTACCCACACTACAGGGACATTTTAGATCCCTTGTTACTTGCTTCTAGGTTTTCTATCACCTAGACCCTCCTTTAATTAGCCAAGCTCAATGTGAAACCTTGTTGTCTAGTATAATTGGGTAAATAAGGTATTGAAACTGTAATCCTTTCCTAAAGATTTTGCTAGTAAGTAACATGTCACTTTATCTTACATTGTATTGACCAAGTAAGTTTGATGAATCCTCAGTTGACATTTTTTAGGGTACTAAAGTAGAAAAAATTAACCATTGTTGTTGTTGTTATTCTTAGCTATAAAGTGTTTCTAAACTAGTGATGTAACCAGGTTGTCTGAGATAAGCAAATACAAATCAGTTCTACAGGATGAACTTTCATTTTAGCCCTAAAACCAGACAAATCTTGACAAGTAATTTGTCAAGAAAAACCATTAGTTCACAGTCGGAAATTTCCAACTCCCTCCACCGCCCCCCCCAAAAAAATTACAAAAACCAAAAAGAAGGAGGTATGGAGAACTAACATAACAGTGCTGGAGGAATATCAATACCAAACTTCAAACTCTATTCTAAAGCCATAATTATAAAAACAGTTTGGCACATAACTGGTACATAAACTGGCACATGAACAGGCCTGGAGACCAATGGAATAGAATTGAAGACGCAGACATGATCCCACAGACCTATGGCCAGCTAATCTTTGTTAGGGGAGCCAATCACATCAGAAAGAAGAGAGACTGACTCTTCAACAAATGATGCTCCTAGAATTGGCTATGTACAACTGACTGCTCTGAAAGCCATCTTTGCATTGTTCCTGGGTCCAGCTCACCGCAGCCTCCTTGGCCGCGGGCCTCCTCCGAGTCTCCGAACTCCCGCTTTCTTTTTTTCTCCTCGCTGCTCCGGATCACCGGCGTGCCCCACCATGTCAGATGCGGCTGTGGATACCAGCTCCGAGATCACCACCAAGGACTTGAAGGAAAAGAAGGAAGTTGTGGAGGAGGCACAGAATGGAAGAGACGACCCTGCCAACGGGAATGCTAATGAGGAAAATGGGGAGCAGGAGGCTGATAATGAGGTAGATGAAGAAGAAGAAGAAGGTGGGGATGAAGAGGAGGAGGAGGAAGAAGGTGATGGTGAGGAGGAGGATGGAGATGAAGATGAGGAGGCGGAGGGATCTACAGAAATGATGGAACAGGGGGTGAACCAAAGCAACAGTCATACTCAGTAAATACTATGTTAGAAATGAACTTTACTTAGACCTCAAAACATTAACCTCTCAAAAAAATAAATCCTCCAAGAAACAACAACCATATTAATGGGCTAAAGACTTAAAGAGAACTGCCCTATGACCCAGAAATCCCACTTATGGGCATCTATCCATTTGACCACAAACCACAAAAACTACACCACATCCACCAGCACGGCTATGTTCATTGCAGCATTGTTTACCATAGCCAAGATATGGAATCACGCCACATGCCCTTCTGTTAGTAAATGGATCAAGAAAACATGGTATACATACAGTAGAACTCTATATTTCCATCAACAAGAATGAAATTTCCCCATTTTTAAGGAAAAGGAAAGACTTGGGAAAAAAATCATGGTAAGCAAAGTAAGCCAGACCCAAAGAAACATAGATTACATGGTCTCCCTCACTTGTAATAACTAAAATGTCTGGGATATTCTTAGCCGAGGATCACAATGGCTCAATAGCTTTGTGAATATGACCATATAAAATGATGCTTATTAAAATGAACTCCAAGAAATGCAAACAAGAGGGTTTTTTTTTCACTTTTATTGAACTGTTGGCAGTTATTTTTTTTTCTTGCTTATTTTTGGTGTGTGATTATTTTTCTGGGGGGGGGGGTCCGGTTGTGGGGCCTGAACTCTGGGTTTGGGCGCTGTCCCTCAGCTCTTCAGCTCAAGGCTAGCGCTCTATCACTTGAGCCACAGCACCACTTCCGGCTTTTTTTTCTTTTTGCTTATGTGGTGCTGAGGAATCGAACCCAGGGCCTCAGGCATGCAAGGCAAGCGCCCTACCACTGAGCCACCTTCCCAGCCCCCTTGCTTATTTTTCCTTTGGTTTATTCCCTACTGTCACTGTTTTTTTAACTCTCTATCTTTTGTCTTTTATATAAATTTATCTGATTTGGGGAAGGGAAGAGAAATCATGGAAATGTTGGGACAAAGTATGAACCAATTCAACAATGATACTCATTAGACACTATGTTGGAAGTGAACTTTACAACTTGAGGGGGGAAGGATAGAGAGGATAAGAGAGAGAAAATGGCAGAAGAGGTAATATTGTTCAAAAAGTAATGTACTCATTAACTGACTTATGTAACTGTGACCACTCTGTATATTACTTTTATACTAAAATTTAAATTTAAGAAAAAGCTAGCATAAATATGTTCCATAAAACTTCAGGTATTTAACTGATGCCTACATCATCAAGAATATGAAATGACTAGCATTAACTCTGCTTGGAAAAAATAGAAAATACTTACAGAATACACAAACACACATTTTTCATTTTAAGAAAAATAATTTGAGAAAACTGTGATTGTAGAACTGGATTTGATGGCTGAATCCTTCTCTGACTCTTCCTGCTTGTAAATGGTTTGCATGCCTTGGCTTGTGGAGCCATTATTTCAAGTTAGCTACACATGATATTCTCTTAATTTTTTTTTCATTTTCCTATGATGCTCTTCTAAAATGAATCATTTTGCATTTTCAGCTGATCTTACTCCATTTCAGACTCATTTTAAATGTCTCATCTGCAGTGACTTACACAAAAATTGTAAAAAAAAAAAAAAAAAAGGGACTACCACAAAACTTATGATAGTTCTTCACCACACTGAATCCATTCATTTGCTTATGTACTCTGTAGTAAGATCTTTGGATCAGGTAGCAGTTCTATTTTCTGGCCCAAACTATTGCCCAGGGCCTGCACATTAGCATCTTTATGATATAGTCCAAAAATACATCATGTAGACACTTTCAAGCAGTTTTCATATACATGCAAAGCTGAGACTAATAAAAGTATCTGCCTTCTCACATAAATATCAATCGGAAAGTAAAAACACAGGTTCTAAGTAGAAGTTAATTAGAAGTTAACTAACCTATAAAACGACACATGGAACAAAATTGTCACAAAAAGGTATCAAAAGTTTTCTTGGCAGTTTCATTTGAAAATCCTACTGTGCAGTATTTTTACCACTGCCTAACAGTGACCAGAAGATTATAGTTATAAGGAAATTTACAGACTTTAAAAAGGTCTTAAATCTCAAAAAATATATTTGACCGGGCCTGTGTTGAAATTGTGCTATAAGTCAAATCTCTAGTGTGTTTTGTACTTAAATTTATGTCAATATATCTGAACCAAGGCATGTGCAGATATTTGGCTAAGCATTAGTTTTGGAGGAAGTTTCTGAATTAGATTAGTATTTGAATTAGTAAACAGAGTAAAGCATGCTGACTTTTCCAGTGAGGGTGGTCATTTCCACAGAAGGTTTCTATAGAACTAAATAGTAGAGAAAGAGGTAATTTTGTTTGTCTTTGAGCTGGAACATTGGTCTTCTCTTGTATTCAGCTTTGGTCCCATACTGGATCTTCCAGTATAGTTCTCTTGGTTCTTAGTTCTTAAATAGGGACTGTAACTAGTATCCTCAACCTTCTTGGGTGTCCAGCTAACTGCCTGCATATCTCAGAAGATATTTCAGCCATCATAATAACATGAGCCAAATCCTCATAACAATTCCCCTCCCCCTCTTTTTCCCATACCCCTTCTTTTTCTTCCTTGTCTTGCTGTCCTATATTATTTCTTCCTCAACCTCCTTCTCTCCTTCCTCCTTGTTCTACTCCTCCCATCCTTCTTTCTTCCTCCTCATTCTTTCTCCCTTCCCTCTATGTACACACACACACACACACACACACACACACACACATGTTCTCTCTCTCTCTCTCACACACACACACACACACACACAGAGGTTCTATTTCTTGGGTTAATCCTGTCTAACACATCTCTAATCTCAAATTTTGAATTAAAGTTACATTTAAGACCAGTTCTCTAAACAAAAGAATTAAATGGGGAAAACCAATCCTCTGAAATAAAAATAAAATTTCCATATAATAATTAAGTATTAAAACATCAAGTGTTTCACAAATGTTTCAAAATATGTTGCAAGTAGTATAATCATATACACTTCTTTCTCATAAAAAAGAATGGGAACTTCCAAATCTTTATCAAATATTGTTTTCACATAACTGGCAATAATTTAACTAGTCTTATCAAAATTGACTACTTTTTTAAATCCTCATTTAATTGGGAAATGGCTCTCTTTTTTTGGGGGGGGGGTTCCAGTCGTGGGGCCTGAACTCTGGGCCTGCGCACTGTCCCTCAGCTCTTCAGCACAAGGCTAGTGCTCTACCACTTGAGTCACAGCACCATTTCCGGCTTTTTTTCTGCTTATGTGGTGCTGAGGAATGGAACCCAGGGCCTCATGCATGCAAGGCAAGAGCTCTACCACTGAGCCACCTTTCCAGCCCAAGGAAGTGGCTCTCTCTTGCTCCCACCTTCACTCTCATCGCTTACACTGTTTTTAGCTCTATCATCCCAGAGATGTTCTTCTGTCTTATGTACTAATGGCTCACACCTATAATCCCAGCTACTCAGGTGGCTAAGATCTGAAAGTTGTGGTTCAAAGTCAGTCCAAGTAGGAAAGTCCTGAGTGAGAATCATCTCCAACTAACCACCAGAAAACTAGAAAGAGCACTGTGGCACAAAGTGGTAGACTGCTACCCCTGAGTGGAAAAAGCTCTGAACAGTGCCTAGGTCCTGAAGCAAGCCTCATAACTGACAAAAAAAAAAAAAAGAAGTGACTATCAGCTTAATGAAAACTGTAACATATAGGAGAGTATCAGTTAAGCCTCTTTCATTATCTGAAAATGATAAAAATCCATGTATACTTGCTTATTGGTAACAAGCTAATTCAAATCACAAAATAGTTGAAACAGCTTTATACAAAGTTTCAAATGAGCTCCTAAGGACATGGTGATGCACAATTTTCTTAGTTATAAATTCTACTGTAGTGACTTTATATCTTCTAAATATAGTAGCTTAAATTAGCTTCCCCATGAACAGCACATTCATTTGCCATCTTGGTGAAAACAGACAAGGAACATATTTCCTATCCTAGAATATTCTCTGCATCTATTTTGTCCCACCTCTATGTGGATCTCATGCTCATCAATGAAACAATCATAATACCACATTCTGATTGATCATGCCAAAACATAGGATGTTCTGAATCCCGACACATAGTTAACTCCATTTAGTAGTCAACCATCAAAAGAAAATCACAATTAGTAGAAATATGTGTGGTTGGACATCGAAGATATAAAAATATTTTTCACATTAATAAGTAAATATGATTTTTTCATGATTGGAAAACAATTCCACATCAGGTAATGTTCAGAAATAAAAATAAAGTAAAAATATTTTCTGTGTTTCATAAATATATATAAATTCAAATAGTTATATGTAAGTGAAATAAATAATTTTGATGCTTAAGTGTCATGTGAATTTCTTATGATCTTAAACCATTGTTCTAGTATTTAAATGACATATGTTTGCAAGACAACTGTAAAACATTCAGAAATTCAGATTGGGAAAGAAAAGTGAAGCAATTGTCTAAGATATTGCAAGTTTAAAAAGTAGGCAGGTCAATGTCATAAATATGGAAGACAAGGTTCCCAATTATATGGAGAAAAAAGTCCATATCTGCTGCAATTAGTAAGTTAAGCTATATGTATCCAAATGTATCCAAATATTGTTGATACTTCCTTGTACCTTTAGAGATCTTTAGAACAGTCTTCCAAAAGAAGCAATGCCAAAATTACTTTTATTTTAGCCTTACTCTCCTATATCAACTTTTTTTTCAAGAAAACTGACCATGAAGTAATAGGTTTTCAATCCCATGTTTCTCCCATTCTCTTGTCAAACAGGTGAGATCTCATGTCCACTCAAGAACATAAGCACTGTTATCAAACACATGAAGTTAAAAAACTGAAAAAATATCACTCTAAAAAATATAATTCTAGGAGCTGGGAAGGTGGCTCAGTGGTAGAGTGCTTGCCTTGCATGCATGAGGCCCTGGGTTCGATTCCTCAGCACCACATAAGCAGGCAAAAAAAATGTGGAAGTGGTGCTGTGGCTCAAGTAGT